TCTCAAAAAAAAAAAAAAAAAAAAAAAAGATAATCGTAGATGAACAGTTGAAGAAACCGACCTTGTCAGCCAAAGTCACACACAGCTAGTAAGTGCCTTGGCTTGAAAGCGAGCATCTCCCTCCGAGGTCATACTCTAGCCACTCTGCCAGGCTTCCTCAACTTTCATTCCTATCCTTGCAAGTCGTTTTCTGACTCCATATGCTTCACATTGGTTAATTCATTCCCAGTTTATCAGGGTCTGGTCTCATTCACCCACTGTGAAAAATAACTCTAATTTTCTAATTCACTTTTGTGTCTTTCAGTTGAAATACTCCTTCACCTTTTTGTGTGTCTACATAAGCTTCCTTTCTTATTTTTAGTAAGAAAAAAATTGGACTCATTTTAAGATAGAGCCGGCTCGGCTGTAAGGAATATAGACTGGTTTGTTTTGTTTTTTTTTTTTCTGGTACGGGATGAAAAAGGACCACATGAGTTTCAGCAGCTGAGGTGGTGGATTATAATAGTAGAAAAAGAAAAACAGCCCTGCTCCGCCCCCGGCCCGCCCCGGCCCGCCCCCGGCCCGCCCCGGGTAACTGCAGTCCTTGAAGGCGTCTCTGAGCTCCGGGCCGATCCCTGCCGGCAGAGAAGCCGGGTGCCGGGGTCGCGCCGAGCAGCTGCGGCCCGTCCGCTCGGTGGAGGTCGAGTCCAAGGTTTGGAACCGGGGCGGCGGCAGCAGAGTCCACGCTGTCCACATGGACGCGCCGGGGGACCCAGAGGGCCCACGCCCACCAGGAGGTGACCGAGAGCGAGGTGGCCCGCAGCGCCGCGGAGACTTCGGTTCTCCGTAGCAGCGATTGAATTGACTTTAGCTTGGTTTGTTTCTGAGAGATTGGTAAGGCTGGGCCTGACTCTGAGGTTCAGGCCAGCGTTTCTTTTCTCTCTGGAAGGGGTAAAGTTCAGGAGCTATTTATGGCACTCCGGTCTCTAATGACTTTTTTCCCCTCTAGCGCTGCTTTGAAGGACTGTGTGATTATTAACAATGAATTCAAATTAAGTACGCCACTGGGCAAATGTAAGACAGTATCTTTGGAATACCCACTGTTGTTCCCTTGTTTTTAACTTTTCTCATTTCCCTTTTTCATCTACTCCAATTTTTTTCAATGATTCTTAAGACTTCCTCATGTAGCACAGATTTTTTTCCTTTCCTGGGCTCTAGTGGCAACTTTTGAAAAATAGAGCATGATGCAAAAGACCAGTAATTAGTGTAAAAATCTATTGATTTACAGATTGGGGGGAACTTGCCTTTGCAGAGGCATATCTTGTTAAGTACTCATTCAGCAGTTGAATTATTTAGCTTGTTTTCTCCTGCTCACACTTCATTTGACTTCAAGACTGTCTTAGAATTCTTCATAAACAGCTGACGTGACATGCTTAAAACATTACTGAGCTCACCTGGTATATGAAGCTAGTTACAAACTCCACGCTGCTGTCTTGAAGGGAGTTGTGAAGGAACAGAGAAATAGGCCTTTAAGGTGGAGACAGATCAGAAGGCTTGATAATTTCTGCATTGAAATTCTAACGGGGTGGTATGTAAATGCAAGTGATACGTTTTCAAAATTACTGTGATGTACAGGATTGTGCTTGCTTTGGTCAAATGTGCTGTATTCAAAATAGCTCAAAGTTCAGCAAATGTTGTCTTTAGAGTGCATGTTCTGTGCACAGAAATGACACTGGTATATTCCCGTTGATAGACCCAATTACATGCCTAACTGCAGTGTGTTTGCATTCAAGGTGATGGCCCTGCTGGATGTGCCAGAGAAACACGCAGGCGATTCTCAAGGGAACAGCTTTATGTACTGATATCTGCAGCTTCTGTGAACTTAGGTTCCATGATGTGCTATTCTATCCTGGGACCCTTTTTCCCCAAAGAGGTAAGACATTTTTATATCCATAGGACCTTTCATTTTTTAAAAAGCTTTTGAATTTATTTCATTTTACAATATGTAAAATGTAAAAATCTATATGTAGTACACATAATGTACAGAACTTCAGCCAATAGAGTACTTGTAGAATGCTTGATACCGGGGGAAAAAATCCAGTCAGAAAGAACATCTGCTTGGGAGGTGATTCACCTAAATATAATCAATCTTTCAAAGATTACTTTGCTTATTACATAGTCTGATTACTCTTCCTTTGGTTTCTGCAACTGATAAAACTGAGATTTAAATGCTAACGCAAAGGTCTGTGTTGAGACAGTAACTCTCTCCTGGAGTTTCTGGTTTATTCATATTTTGGAATTAGGAAGTTGTGATTGACTGAGTCCCCTCTTCTGACTTGAATTTTTTTTTTTTTTAACTAATGTAACACAGGAATGTTATCTTTAATATCTAAAAGCTTCTCACTTGAATTTTTAAGGACTCCAGTGGCAATATTTGAAAAAAGGATGAATTCTGATAAATAGCACCTAGTTCCCTCCAAGCACAGCCTTTTATATAGTGTTAGGATCCGTAGCTAATGGCACAGACTGAAAGGGACTAACCCTTAGTTGAGTTCCGCTGGATTCTGGATGTCAATAGGATGTAATATGACATGAATGGGGCTGGCTTGAGTGAAATTGAGTAATATGCCTGTGTATTTTATTTTGTGCTCTTTGCCAAATACTTGGATGGCAGTGCTCCTCACTTCTCTGACTGCTTTGATAACATGTAGTGCTTCCCTCTGCGTGCCACAAAAGCTCAAGAGGCTCCTCTGCTTTTTTTTTTCTTTTTTTTTTTTGAGACAGAGCCTCAAGCTGTCTCCCTGGGTAGAGTGTCGTGGCATTACAGCTCACAGCAACCTCCAACTCCTGGGCTCAAGCGAGTCTCTTGCCTCTGCCTCCCAAGTAGCTGGGACCACAGGCGCCCGCCACAACGCCCGGCTATTTTTTGGTTGCAGCTGTCATTGTTGTTTGGCGGGTCCGGGCTGGGGATTCGAACCTGCCACCTTAGGTGTACGTGGCTGGCGCCTTAGCCGGTTGAGCTATAGGCGCCGAGCCAAGAGGCTCCTCTGCTAAAGGAACAATACTGTGCTCTCAGAATACTCCTTGGGTTTCAATGCTTATTTCCATCCATCTATATAGTGAGACTCTCATCATTTTGCAAATGGAGAAACAGTTTCAGATGTTGTGACTTCACCAATTTAGTTCCATTCACTAGAGTTTCAGAGAGTTTTTGTTCTGGAGTTTGGAGTTGTTAGGGCAGAAAAAAATCAGGAAAATGTCCCTTCTTTGTCCATGGGGAATGAAAAAATATGGGTGGGGGGAGGGTTTAAGATTGTTTGGATATGCTTTAAGAAAAGGATGTCCAGAATGTTGTGAGACTTTCAAAAGACGAATGGGTGTCATGGTGGACTAGGGACAGAAGAAGGGGGCTACTGAAAGGGACTTCATAGGCAATATCTTAAGAGGTAGTAGTTCCTTAGGTGAACACCGTGGTACTGGCATTCTAGGTCACAGAAATAGAAAAGTGAATGGCTTGTTTTTGGAAAATAACAGACAGCTTGAACTGGCTTGAGCCTAGAGTGGAGTGAGGTCTAAGAGACAGAAGATCTGGGGGCAGGCTCGAGGTAGCATGGAAAAGTACTTGTATGCATGCCAAGGACTTAGTGGGAAGTCATCAAGGTGACTGAGCAAGGTAGAGTAGCGTGGGCAGATTGGGGTTTAAAAAAAAAAATGAGGCAGCGCCTGTCGCTCAGAGGAGTAGGGTGCCAGCCCCCTATGCCAGAGGTGGTAGGTTCAAACCCAGCCCTGGCCAAAAAAAAAAAAAAAAAATAATAATGATGATGATGATGGGAATCTGTAGAATTAAGATGGAGAAGAAGTAGAGTGGATCAGACCCATTGGGAAGGCGTTTCACGGCTCAGCTGGAACTCAGTGAAGGCAACTAATGTTAGTGTCCTCCAAGTGAAGAGAGACAAAGTAAAACCAGGCGTGGGTGTGTGGTTTCAAGTTTTGGACTGAATGTTTTGCTCATAGGAGGTGTCAACTGAAGAATAAAGTCACATTTTTAAAGAATTAAAATATGTTTTATTCAGAAATAAAACAAGGGGCTATAGACAGACATTTGTAGTCCCAGAGCAATTCCATAGCACTTAACAGGGATGCTGGCTCATAGTGAGGGTCCAATAAAATACTAGATGCTCTAACCATTATACATGTCCTGATAGGTTCTAGAACTAAATACCTATCAGATCTATTAAGCAAAAACTGAAGATAATGTAATTTGACCAAGGAATGTTCTACCTGCATTTTAATCAACTCTTTTGATAATACTTTCCCTTTGAGGAAGCTGACCTGGGTGTAGTAGAATCGTAGGCTTCATTTTCCAATCCACTAAACAGCATAGCCTTTTGCTGCAGTGCCATTAAAGGCATCTTAATAATGAGATATCTCTTGTCTCCACATCATTATCTCTTGTGGCGATTATTAAACGGAAAGGGAATAGCCAGTTATGGCTGAATAGCATTCTATGGTAAACATATACCGCAGCTTATTAATCCATTCCCACGTTGAAGGGCACCTGGGTTGTTTCCACATCTTTGCGGTTATGAATCATGTTGCTGTAAATATTCTAGTGCAAATATCCTTAATGATAAAATATTCTTTTTTTTTCTTTGGGGTAGATATCTAGTAATGGGATTGTAGGATCAAATGGTAGGTCTACTTTTAGCTCTTTGAGGAATCTCTATACTTCTTTCTACAGAAGCTGTACTAGTTTGCAGTCCTACCAGCAGTGTAAGAGTGTTCCCTTCTTTCCATACCTATGCAAGCATCTATTGCTTTGCAACTTTGCAAGGTGGGTCATTCTAAATGGGGTTAGAAGATATCTCAAAGTGGTCTTGATTTATATTTTTCTGATGATTAGGGATGATCAACATTTTTTCATATGTTTGTTGGCCATTCATCTGTCCTCATGAGAGACCTTTTTGTTTAGGTCTCTAGCTGGGAAGGGCCAATTATGAAGCTTGTAGAATTAATAAGCTTAAAATTCTGCCTCAGTAATTACTACAGAACTATAGGTCCATTTTTTGCCCTCACCCACTGTCTGGTCCCTGAGTACCTGGACCTTCCTAGAGTAAGGGGGTGACTCTTCCTAATACTTAACTTGGAACAATAGAGTTTACCTGTCTGGTTTCCTATCATGTGATGCTATCAGAGATGTAGAGTTTATTTAAAGAGGCATAGTCTGACATGAAAAGAATGTTCTTGAAAAAGACAAGGATTGAATGATGATGGTATCTTTACAAGGAAGGTATGGAGAAAAATTTTTATCTAAAAATTGTCGTTATTGTAGTATTGTAGTTAGAAAAGGTAAAGCAATGTGATCATAGCCGTTGTAGGGAATGGATTTTGAAGGGTGTATAGTATGTGTGTATGTGCAGCCCTGGAAGTGGGTATGCACACATTTCAGTATTACTGATCTGTTCAAGTTCCTAAACAAATCAGAAAATGACTTACCCCTGACTTCCACCCCTGGAAGTGGGTATGCACACATCTCAGTATTAACAATGAAGTTGTTTTTGAAAAAACTGAGACTCTGGTGAAAGAATGGATCTAAATTGGACTCTTCTGATCATAAATAGTCACTACTGGCACCATGCCTGACACACCCAAGGTGCTCAATAAATGACTTCTGGTAAGACTTCTGTAGTTCAGGCTTTGCACTTCATAGAATGCTAAGTTGTCAATTCTCTCTTAAAGAAATTAAACTCATATTTTGACTCTTGAAATTGCTATGGTTAGAACCTAATGTGAAGATCTGCCATGTTTCTAGGGTTTGAAAAAGCTTTTTAAACCTTCTATTTCTTTATGTGAATTTAGTAGTATATCATAGTAATAGCATTTGAAGTTCAAATGAAGTAGAATTAGGATAAATGCCATCCATATCAAATTTAGGATTGGAGGGGAACTAGGGACTAAGTGTTACTATCTAAACTAGTTCCCCTTCCTTCCCTTTTCTGTTATTTTAATGTACTCTTTGAAATACTATACAAGTAAAGATCACAAAAAGATAATGCTGTAATCCAATATTCCATTTTTTCCATCCTGGTCCTAATTCATCTTTCATACTTAGTTCTCGTTTCTCTTTCTTTAAAGGCTGAAAAGAAGGGAGCCAGCAATACCGTTATTGGTATGATTTTTGGATGTTATGCTTTGTTTGAGTTGCTGGCATGTTTGATATTTGGAAACTATGTAAGTATTAAAATTCATGTGCATGTTTAACTTTTTAAATCATGTAATAAGTTATTCTAATGTACTAATCTAGAATTTGCGTCGATGCAGAAATAACCACTGTTACAGTTTTATAAATTGTGGTGCTCTTGACACTTCCCTCCTTAGCAATGATTGATTTTAAACTCCTTCCATGTTTTTAAGCAATGTGTATTGGCACTCCATTGAAGAATTATTATATTAACTGTGTGTGTCTTCCCCCAATCCTGTATTTTCCAATGTAGTAGATTTGTTTATGTCAATATAGACTTGTAGAAGTCATCAATTTGCCACTCTTCTTTGACATTTATTGTAGATTATACATATTGGAGCAAAATTTATGTTTGTAACAGGAATGTTTGTCTCGGGAGGAGTTACAGTTCTCTTTGGGTAAGTCATTTTCTGATTCATTTGGGAACTTGAACAGATTGTATAGTCTATCTTTAGTTTAAATATAAATAGCTCTTTAAGTCAATGGCACCATTATTGTCTGTTGAAGGCATAGCATGTGACAAATGGCGGAAGGAGTTGGTGAGTAGTGAACAAGAATGAATGGCATTAATCTCATGGAAACAGTCCTCCAGGGGATCACCATTACACTGGCCATTGAATCGATTCTTTTTTTATTTTGAGTCAGAGTCTCACTATGTCACCCTCAGTAGAGTGCTGTGGTGTCCTAGCTCACAGCAATCTCAAATTCTTGAGCTTAAGTGATTCTCTTGCCTCAGCCTCCCAAGCAGCTGGGACTATAGGCTCCTACCACAACAACCAGCTATTTTTTGTTGTTGTTGTTGTAGTTGTCATTGTTGTTTAGTAGGCCCAGGCTAGGTTCAAACCCACCAGCCCTGATATATGTGGCCAGTGCCCTAACCACTGAACTACGGGTGCTGAACCACTGAATCTGTGCTTTAGAATTACTGTGACTTGGAGTGACAGAGTCTTTTTTTTTTTTTTAAAAACAGAGTCACTCTTTATCACCCTCTGTAGAGTGCTGTGGTGTCATAGCTCACAGCAACTTCAAACTCTTGGGCTCAAGTGATCCTCTTGCCTCAGCTTCCAGACCACTGGCGGGCATGCCACAATATCCAGCTGGTTTTTCTGTTTTTAGTAGCAACAGAGTCTTGCTCTTGCTCATGCTGGTCTCAAACTCCTGAGTTCCAGCAACCACCTGCCTCCAAGAGTGTTAGGATTACAGGCGTGAGCCACCCTGCCCAGCAAGAGTGACAGAATCTTAACTTACTTTTCCTAATCACAGAAACTTTTTGGCTTAAGCAAAAAAGTGAATTTCTCTTCTAAAGAATCAGCTCAAAGACATCAGGATACAGATGTTAAAAACGGAGTCATCAGAAGTTTTTCTTGACTTCTTGGCTTTGCTTTCTTCTTGTGATTTGCTCCTGGGTGATCTCTCCCTTTGTGGTGGCAACATGGCCCCTCGTAGCTCCAGGAGGGGTGCCAGTCTCCCAGGGGTGCCTGGTAGGGTAGCAGATGAGGCCTCACTGGCTGGATATTTGTTGATGGCCCATCCCTATTGCCGGGGGTGGGGGTGGGGTGGGGTGGGGGTGGAATATTCTGATTGGTCAGGTCGGTGGTGGGCTCGCTTCAGAGTGGGGATTAGCATGGTTTTCCCTGTTGCTGTTTCCAGGAAAAGATGAAATGTGTGCCAAACGCAAGGCAGCTGGAAAGTTCTTCAGCATAGAGGCAAATACTGTGCAAGAGCTTCTATAAGTACTTGGGGAACGTAAGGGAACGATAGTAGGATGGCAAGATTATGATGAGATAAACTCAGGGAAACCATTATGTTCAACAAAGTGGATGCTTTACAAAATTTTCTGCAGCAGGCTTTTTCTCTTGTCTGCATTCACACTTTTTTATTTAAAAGACGAACTCCACCATGGGAGATACTTCAGGGCTTTCAGAGTCATCTACATATTCCAAAGAGCCTATTTCTTATTATCGTCTAGGAGATCAATGAAATCAGCAGAAAAAGGGCAACCTAAGCTGTCCTTGTGACTTCGATCTTTACCAAAAATAAATAGGGAACTTCCTTCTGCTGAAAATATAACAAAACAGCTCTTACAAAAACTATGTTCCTTGTAGATTTATTCTAATAACTATGGGTGATGTATTACTCTTTCCTGTGAGTGCAACTAAAAAGGAGGAATAAATAAAAACCGGCTTGACACTTGAGGATTGTCTTATTCTCGTTTTAGTTTATTGGATCAAGTTCCAGAAGGCCCAATATTTATTACTATGTGTTTTCTAGTGAGAGTAATGGATGCGATAAGCTTTGCTGCAGCAATAACCGCATCATCTTCTATCCTTGCCAAAGCTTTTCCAAATAATGTGGCTACAGTATTGGTATGTATTTTAGAGTTGTTTTTTGCTATTTTCCCTTGAATGGAGGCCAGAATATTTCCTTGACCTGCCAAGATAAAGCTGGGATCCCTTCTTCCTAACTTCTTTTCTCTCCTTTCTGCATTTTTGTTGCCTTTTTACTCCAATTTCCCCTTCTATCAGCAAGGCTGTGAATACATGTACTATGAGTGTTACTCAGTTGCTCTTCCTGGTCTTAGAGTTCCCCGACATTCCCGGAAATAAAGTTTGGATTGGCCAGGCCAGGTTGGGTGCTCACTCCAGAGAGGAACAGCATGGTCCCCCCCTACTGCTGTTTTCAGAAATGGGGAAATGAGTTGCTGAAGGCCAAGCTGCTATGAAAGTTCTTAAGCATAGAGATCTTAATCTAGCAGCATCTTGGCAGGTAATATGGAAGAGCTTATACCAGTACATAAAGGAATGATACGAGGATGGTAAGATTAGGATGAAAGAAACTCAAGACAAATGTTATAGTAAGTGAAGTAGGGGGTTTTTCTGTAGGAGGGGTCTGCACACAGTTTGACAGGTATTCTTTCTACCACTTTTTTTTTTTTTTAATCTCTTAAAGAGTATTTTTCTGTCTCCCTGTAGCCTAGATTGTGGCTGAATTGCCTGAGAATTTCTTTGCAAAACACTTAGTTCACATGAGTATTTCTTCCACTTTTCTCGGATTTGTACAAGGGATCCTACAGTTCATCTTGAAGCCCTTAAGCACTTCAGTGCGGGGCGAGGAGTGCCCTCTCATTTTGATACAAACATACAGCACACATTTGTATCAAATTGGTGGCATCATATTGACATAATTCCGGTGTATTGTCTAGATCAGCAGTTTTCAACCTGTGGTCGTGACCCCTTTGGGGGTCTCCTGCAGATCAGATATTTACATTACAATTCATAACAGTAGCAAAATTACAGTTATGAAGTAGCAACGAAAATAATTTTATGGTTGGGGGTCACCCCAACATGAGGAACTGTATTAAAGGGTCACGGCATTAGGAAGGTCAAGAACCACTGGTCTAGATGCCTGAAGACCTGGTATAATGACATGCCAGATTCCTGTCTCAGCTTTGGGCAGCTGCCTCCTTGGTCCCAAGAAGGCTTTCCCATAGTGCTTTCTCTAGGCCCGTGTACCCTGGGAGACCCAGGGTCTGCAGAGCAGACCACACACCACCCTCTAGCATGTAATTGTTCTCTAGACCGCAGAGTTTCATCAGCTTAGTACCAAGGACTCCCTCATTTACTCATTTAATACTATAGTTTAAAAGTTCCTTCTATCAGATCAACTATTTGCCACGTAAATAATGTTTCGCATTTTTTAAAGTACTTATGTATACAGCCGGATGGGTTCATTTGAGGTCTATTGCCACTTTAGCGTGCAGGGATGGGCATCATGATAGGTCTACTGTTTATATTTCCCAGTTATACATTTCTCAGGAAGCATTCAGAAGAACACAAATCTGTTGACATGCTCTGTACACAAAGGTTTATCGCTAAACAAGTTTGGAGTGTGCTTTATGCTGTTCTCCAACGTTGAGATATTCAGGTCACATCAGTGTTTTAAGACTCTGAAAAATCCTAGAATAAAGATACTTTATTAAATGTTCCACAACTCAGTTTTACCATGAAGCCACTTTTTTCAAACAAGACTTTTTGACCTTTATTTATTTATTTTCATACTGAATCTCACTTTGTCACCCCCAGTACAGTGATGTGGCGTCACAGCTCACAGCAACCTCAAACTCTTGGGTTCCAGAAATCCTCTTGCCTCAGTGTCTGAAGTAGCTGGGACTATAGGCACTCCAACTCCTGAAGCTCAAGAAATTCACCCACCTCGGCCCCCTAGAGTGCTAGGATTACAGCTGTGAGCCACCACGCCTGGCCATTTTTTGACCTTTAAAAGAGCTGATATTATATACTAACACTCTGGAAAGTACCAGAAAACACTGCCCGAGAGATTCCTGTGCAGTTGGCAGCAGTCCTTTGGATTTTCTGATCAGGAAGGGAAACCAGTGTTGTCATTTGATGCTTCTATGTAAAATTGCAGCCCAAAGCTAATACATCTAACATGGTAGTTGATCTGGATGGCCTTGTTGTGAGTAAAGATAGAATTCCTATGTTCATTAAGAAATGCAGGAAGTTATTAATGGACTATTTTTGTGCAGTCTGCGAGATCTGGGGATATAAGATTGCAAGCTACAAGTCTCTGTTTAAAGTTCTTAAAAACTAGTTTGATTTGAAATGGTGCTATTTTTGTAGTCGTAAACTGTTTCCATACCACTGTTTTGTTTAATAGTTTTATGTGATACAAAGGAATATAGAATATAGTAAATATATCCTACACATTACTGTTGCTTACTATTCATACACACACCAGGTGATCAACCTTCCATCTCCCTCCGGGAAAGCAAAAGTTACTGCAGGTGTCTCCCAGAGAGATTCCTTGGGTATGTACGTACGCACATGCACACATGGACACGCACAGAGAAGATGGTTTTCCTTTCCCTCTTTTTCTTTTCACAAATGGTAGCATACCACATAAACTGTTCAGCACCTTGCTGATTACACCAACAATGAAATCATCTTGGAGATCTTCCCGTGCCTACGTAGAAAGAGCTTGCTTTTTTCTTTTTCTATACTACTTCCCCGTACAGCTATAACCTACTTTATGGACACTGTTGATTACTATTGAGATTGCTTACATCTTTTGCTATTGTAAACGATGCTATAATGCAGAAAGTTGTATATATGTCGTGTCACATCTTCATGCTAGACCTGTAAGTTAAATCCTAGAAGTGGAATTCTGGATCAAAGAGTATGAGCAGTTGTAATGTTGACAGAGTTGCCAAATTGCCCTTCTGGGTTTGCTCACCAGCAGTTGGAAGACTGCCTCTGCCCCACTTGGAAACATAGTGTGTTTGATGGGTGCTCGGTAAAAATTGGTATCTTGGGGTTTATTTGGTTTGTTTCTTTTAAAAAGTGACAGTGAGCTGCTTCTTCTAAGAGCTATTTATATTTCACTTTACTGTGTCAACAGTTTATTTTTAGCATTTACCCATTTTCCTGTTAAGTTGTTCATTCCCCCCACCCCCGGATTAGTAGTTCTTAATATTTTGGGGGAAGTAGTTCTTTATCAGGATCTTTTCTAGTTTTCATTTGCCTTTTGATTTATTTTTCTATGTATAGTCTTTCATATTTCATGTAATTAAATTTATTAATCTTACTTCTGTAGTACTTTTTTTTTTTGCAGTTTTTGGCTGGGGCGGGGTTTGAACCCACCACCTCCAGCATATGGGCCAATGCCTTACCCTTTTGAGCCACAGGTGCCACCCTACTTCCCTAGTACTTTTATGACTTTAATATGGTTATTTAAGTTTTTGTTCCATTTTGAGTTTATGTTGGCTGTGTACCTGTGAAGTAGATAGAATTTTTATCAGATAGTACCTTATAATTCTTCAAATGAAATACATTAACTCAGTTTTTTCTCCCCATTTCAATTTTAGGGAAGTCTTGAGACCTTCTCTGGACTGGGACTGATAGTGGGTCCTCCTGTTGGTGGCTTTTTGTATCAATCCTTTGGCTATGAGGTGCCTTTTATTTTTCTGGGTTGTTTAGTTCTGCTAATGGTACCACTCAACATGTATATTTTACCCAATTATGGTAAGTCAACTCTTATTGCTCATTTAAAAAATCTTGAATGTATTTTTATGCCTTTAAAAGAAACCAATTTGCCAGATATTCACTTTCATGTAACCAATGAAAGCTTTATAGAACACTGTAAAAGAACTGATTCTCTTCTCAGAAATATTGTAGGCAATTAGGTTATATGAATTTCTATGTATCACAATTTTTTTCTAACCTTAAGAAAAAGCAAATACTTAATTTTTGATCATAAACCATCACCATATACAGTGTCCATCATAGGTCCTTTTGAAGTGAACTAAATGTCAGGACAAGGAGTTTTTATGACCCACTTCTGGCCTGTCTTCCTAGGCTATGAGCTGGTAGGGCAAGATCCGCCCTTTCTTCCCAGCAGCCCTTGCAGCTGTCCATGCAGCAGCGCCCAGGTGTAAAGACACAGGCCCACGTTAGGCAGCAACGGGAGCCACCCTGGCCATAAAACTTCATACTCCACAGGAGTCAACCTGCCCCGTAATAAATGCATGGATATCAGTCCTACAGTCTCTGTGGGGAAACATGTCAGGTATAAGAGTCAGCACAGTCAGGGAGGCACAAAACATCATGTCCTCATCAGGTGTTCATGGTTCATTTGTATTTCCCTTTGTCCAGATGAAATTTACCAATCAGACTTATTCTTATAAACAAGTAACACAGTGAGCATTGTTCTAGTGGCACCGAGCTGGAGCCTTCACTCAGACAACAGGTTAGAGAGGCAGTACCATGTGAAGCCACACGGTGGCGCTCGTCCTCTCTCTGAGTGTGACGACACCGTCACTTCTGCAGTTGAGCTTCCTGGCCGTGCTCAGGTTGGTTTGTTCCGTACTTGGCTGGTAATTAAGAAATAGACACCAGGTCAGATTCTCATGTAGCAGGAGAAAAACTTTTGTTAAGTCTGTACCACACCAGACAAGGAAAGAGACTTTGCTGAGACATACTAGTTAATGGTCCAACTAGATATTTAGAACTTCTGGGATTAGGTGCTGCACTGGCCCCAGTGTCTGTCACCCCCTGGGGCTTGGCCCGCCCTCCTCATCCCGTCCCTTCATCTCTCCACTTGGTCTCTTTTGTAGCCCTTTCCAGTCGCCACCGACCTGACTACCTGATGCTTGTTTCTCTTTTGTCATGTATCTATTTTCCTTGCATCTTTATTGAACTAGCAAAAATCCCCATTAGCTAATTTTTATGAACAAAAGGGTTTGACAAACTCAGTGTTAATCTATGGAAGGCTTTTTTATTTAGATTCAATGGAAAAAACAACTGGTATTTTAAAAAGCTCTCTAAAATTGTCATTATTAAAGCTCTAAAAATAGATTATAATGTTCCCATTTAGGAGTACTTTTTTGAAGAGTGTTATAATAGGAAGGTTACAGATAGCAGCTAGAAAACTAACCATATTTTATTTTTCTGGCATTAACAGAATTTTATATTCTGTAAGTTCTGCCCGCCTCTTTGACCTTCTTCTGGACTCACAGACAATGCGGCTTTGCTCTGGAGGGCTAAGCGCTCCTCTCCCTCCTTTCTACCTGCTTACCAAGTCCCCTGTTCTGTACTGCTCGAAAGAACTATTTCTAGTATAGAGCCCTGGACAGGTCAGTCCTCTTGTTAAAATTCTTACATCCAGTAAATTCAGGAGACCTATTACATGTCATGGTGACTATAGTTAGTAACAATATATTGTATACTTGAAAATTGCTAAGAGTAGATAGGTATGTGAGGTAATACGTTAATGGTTAATTGGCTAATTAGATTTAGTGATTCTACAGTGTATACATACATCAAAACATCATGCTATATACCAGAAATATATAGCAATATATAGCATTTTTCATATATATATGAAAAATTTTGTCTTGTCAATTTGGAAAAAAATTCCTTTTTTTTTTTTGGAGACTGAGTCTCACTATGTCACCCTGGGTAGAGTGCTCTGGCATCACAGCTCACAGCAATTGGGCTTAAGCGATTCTCTTGCCTCATCCTCCCACGTAGCTGGGACTACAGGCACCCACCACAATGCCCAGCTGGAAAAAATTCTTAAAGCCATGACACACGAACTTTCTCCTGGAAGCCATTAGAAGCTATTGTTAGATTTAAGTAGAGGAATCATACAGTCTGGAATCTCTCTCTTCCACTCTGCATAACCTCTACTCGTTCTGCAAGACTTACTTTATCTTGCCTCTTCTGGGGAGTTTTTAACAACCTTGATCGTTGGACTAGATGTTGAATAAGTAGTGCCACGGGCTCAGCTTTCTTCTTGCCCCTCACCTGAGGACCATCCCATTCCCACATCTCTAACAGGAGCTCCCTGGGGCAGGCACTGTCAACTAGGGAGACACGTCCCTCCAAGAAGAATACAGATCTCCCTCGGTATCTGTGGGGGGTTGGTTCCAGGACCTTCCATGGCTCCAAAATCCAGAGATACTCAAGTCCCTGATATAAAATGGTGTAGTATCTGCAAATAACCTATGCATATTCTCCCGTGTACTTTAAATCATCTCTAGATCACTTCTAATACCCAATACAATGTGAATGCTATATAACGAATTGCTGTATTGTTTAGGGAATAATAATGAGAAAAAGAAAACTGTCCATGTTTAGTACAGACACAGTTCTTTAAACGTATTTTTGATCTTTGCCAAGCCCGTGGATACAGAGGACCAACTGTATATCAGAACTTGGGGGATGCAGAGAGAGTACTAAGTAGCTTTTTTGGGGGGAGGGTATAGCTTTGTGTTTATTTGTTTAATTTCAGATTACTTTGAGGGTACACAGAATTAGGTTACAGAATTTGCATTTGTTAAGCACAGTCCCTGTTGTAGTTGTGTCTTGCCCCCAGGAGGTGTGCCCATTAAGTGGGAACACACCAGTTCTCCCTCCTTCAGTACTAAGTAGCTTTTAAAAACTCCCCCAGTAATTCTTCTATTCATCCTTTCAAGCAAGTACCACCCTAAGTTTTTATTATTTTGTCTTCTTGAACTGCTTGGTTATATTATGTGTTCATTTTCATGGATGTTTTTATATATTCTTATTATGATAACCCCTTTTCCCATCCTAGATTTTAGGGAAGCGGACAATTTATACAATAATAGTTTCTCTTATACCCTAAATATATGATAATTTTTATATGCACAATAAATGTAACCAATTAAAGTTGGAATTTTTGTAAGTTTATTTTAAAGGCTACTAACATCCTTAGCATACTTTTAAAAATTCACACCAAATTAAGTCTCCCAGCTGGCAATACCTCACTGAACCACACGGTGGTGGTGCTTCTTCTCTTTCTAAATCAAACTACATATTGTTTGTGTAGCTGGGCTGTGCTGGGATTTGGTTCGCTGTTGAATGCAGGGCTGGTAATTAAGAAATTTTATTTGGGTTTAATTTTACCTCCTGTATCCAGAAAAAGTCTAAGTGTAGCACTTAAAGTAGTTGAACCACACTTACAATGTTTTTTGTACCTGGCCCCATACTTGGTCATTATTCAAGTATTTATGGAATAATGAACTGTGTTGGGTACTGTGGGGAATTTTATTTTTGATAAAATTCAATGTAACTTCTGGGTTTGAATAAGTTATATGCAAATGTGGTTGATAATTTTAGGCAAGCTCAGAAGTACAGTTATTTATCTGATTACCAGATAAAGATGGCCTTGCCAGTTTACTTTTCAAAATAAGTTAAAGGATAAAGTTAAGAGGATTTCATTGCTGTGATTTTTTTTTCATTTTTCCTCCAAAGTGTCCGATCCAGGTCAGCACTCTTTCTGGAAACTGATCTCTTTACCCAAGATTGGCTTTATAGTTTTCACCATCAACTCGCTCAGCTCGTGTTTTGGCTTCCTTGATCCTACTCTGTCTCTCTTTGTTTTGGAAAAGGTAAGTGGTCTGATTATTGAAGAGCTCTGCATTGTAGCAGGTGGACGGCGTAATTGCTTGCTTTGGGCCCTGCTTTGTGGAATGATCTTTGCATGACTGTGAGAGGGAAGCAGAGTGGGAACTGCACATCAGGGTACCCTGTGCCTTCTCTCTGTGACATCCCTGTGAACTAGGGATCTGATTCATTGCAGAAGAAAGAAGGCTTTCACTAAGTTCACTAGGTGGCCAAAACATGGTCTCCTTCCTTCCAAGACCTTGCTCATGTCACTACTGTAGGTCTGGCGTGGGTATCATCTGTGCTGTTTAATAAGGACACTTTTCCTCTATTTGTTTCAATTTCAGTAGGCATTAGAGTACTCAATAGCTTGTTTAATGTGAGGTGTTTTTCTCTAGGACAGTGGTTCTCAACCTTCCTAATGCTGCAACCCTTTAATACAGTTAAAAGGGGTTGCGAGGTTGAGAACCCCTGCTCTAGGAGATCTGCTCTGTTAGATCTTATTACACTGAAGGATCTTACTACTTCTTAGATTAATCATATAATCAGATGATTGTGTATTATATTAATCTGGAATGGGAGAAAGTAACCAGGGTCTCTAATGTTGAATAAAAGTTTGATTACAGAAACTTGTTGTGTTCCTAGATTTTTAAAAAAAAAAAAACATTATTAACGATGCTGTTAAGTTCATTACCAAGACTGGTAGTTAATTATACTAGAGAATTAACGTGTGTTTGTAAAAAGCAATAATGATTAACTTCAGTCTATACTAATTTAATGTGAGGCACTAGATTTAAAATAGCTCAACTGCCAGTAACATAATTTTTTTTTTTTTTGAGTCAGAGTCTCACTATGTTGCCCTCCATAGAGTGCTGTAACATTACAGCTCACAGCAACCTCAAACTCTTGGGCTTAAGCGATTCTCTTGCCTCATCTTCCCAAGTAGCTGGGACTACAAGTGCCCACCACAATACCTGTCTATTTTTTTGCTGTAGTTGGTATTGTTTAGTAGGCTTGGGTCGGGTTTGAACCCATCAGCCATCGTGTATGTGGCTGGGCCCTAAGTGCTGAGCTATGGGTGCCGAGCCCAGAAATGTAACTTTTAACAAAGTTTCTAACATGGTGATTTCTGAATATTGACTTATCATAGAAAATGAAGATTATTATTATTTCTTTTTAAAAATTTCACACTACCCTTTGTGGTCACTAAAGATAGTTTTGGGTATTTCATGGATAAACCGGACTGTAGTTTTAGTGCCTGGCCCACGATTTAGAGAATAACATAATATTGTATTTAACCTGTGAGCATCTGTGAGGGAACACATAAAAGATACTCTGTGGTTATGCTGACACGATCCATGTATATCATCAACAACATGTCTCTTTAAGCCTTTTTTTTTCTGTGCTTTTGAGACGTTATATCTCAATAATGAAACCATCTATAACTTATAACTGGGAAGAAAATTTTCTATTTTTCCTCAAGAAAATGTAGTTTATTCATAAGAGGAGAGGAAGATAGGCAGTTTTGCCAAAGATAACTATAGTTGACCCATTTGTGGGATGGCCAGGGGGATGGACTTCGTCAGACCTTTGATGACCACAGGGATATTGATGGAGGCTCATCACTGCTGACATTTTCCCCATCCCATTAACCAACTCCAACCTAACAAACTTTTAGAACTTTATTTTCTTATTTTTTAATTACTTTTTTTTTTTGCAGTTTTTGGCCAGGGCTGGATTTGAACCCACCACCTCTGGTATATGGGGCCAGCACCCTGCTCCTTTGAGCCACAGGCGCCGCCCTAATCACATTTTTTTTTTCTTCTGACTTGTCATTTAATTGACACTTTGTTGTACACCCATTGGTTGTCTGGCCTTTCAGGGTAGGATGGGTTGACATTTTATCCCTCCAGTTGTAAGATGAGAAGAAGACATTTCTGACTTTTGCATCCTGCCACCATCTTGAAAGAACTAATTTCTTTTTTTTTTTTTTTTGAGACGGAGCCTCAAGCTATCCCCCTGGGTAGAGTGCCATGGCATCACGCTCACAGCAACCTCCAAGTCCTGGGCTCAAACGAGTCTCCTGCCTCAGCCTCCCAAGTAGCTGGGACTACAGGCACCCGCCATAATGCCTGGCCATTTTTTGGTTGCAGCCATCATTGTTGTTTGGCGGGCCCGGGCTGGGGATTCGAACCCGCCACCTTAGGTGTATATGGCTGGCGCCTTAGCTGCTTGAGCCACAGGCGCCGAGCTGAAAAGAACTAATTTCTTAATAAAATTAATATTTATCACAAAAACTATTAAAACACATAGTGATTCATAAATAAATCCTGTGGACTTAATTAAGAAAAGTATTTGAGGAAATTCATTAAAGGAAAATGAAAACAACTAGATATAAAGAGGCATTTATGCCATGTTGGTAACGGTGATAGTATCAGAGTTACTGTTTTAGAAGCCTTTTAAAACACTGCCTGTCATACCATCTAATTTTTACATCCCATTGAGTTGGATAAGGAAAATATTATTATTATTAGTGCCTTTTATTCCTTAAACTGCAGCCTGTGGACTGTCAGAATTACCTGGGTGTGAACTCCCGAGGCCCAGGAACCTCTTAACAAGCTGGTAATTTTTATGCACATTGAAGTTTGCAAAACACTATTTTACATATAGAAATGTTATGTTTCACAGAAGTAGAATTATATGTGTAATGTCAAAAGCTAAAAGCAAAAAAATCTACGTCTTCTGATCTCTTGGAGAGGTTTTTCTTCCCTCTCATTGAGAAAAAGGTACCCATTTACACAGACAAACATTAGGAAGAATGCTGAGTGTTATTAGCACTCGTGGTAATAACAAGAGCTGAAGAAATGATAGAAGGAAAAGTTGGATGTTTATCTAAAATTGTTTAATCATATAATTTTAATACAAGATTTGTTTTACAGTTTAATTTACCAGCTGGATATGTGGGACTGGTATTCCTGGGTTTGGCACTATCCTACGCCATTTCTTCACCACTGTTTGGCCTACTAAGTGATAAGATGCCTGTACGTACACTTACTGTATATTTTAGTTGCTTTTGTATGTTTAAACTAGTGGTTGTCCAAGTGTTCCTCTGGAACTCTGGGGATTTGTTGGTTAGAATTGACACATTCAATTGGAGAGGTTCCAGGGTCTCTAACATGAAACATCACCCTGAGCAGATTCATTTTCATTTATTTACTTTTTTTTTTTTTTTTGAGACAGAGTCTTACTTTGTCACCCTCAGTAGAGAGCCATGGTGTTACAGCTCATAGCAACCTCAAACTCTTGCCTCAGCCTCCCGAGTAGCTGGGACTACAGTACAGGCACCTGCCACAATGCCTGGCTATTTTTAGAGATGGAGTTTCGCTCTGGGTCAGGCTGGTCTCAAACCTGAGTCCACCCGCCTCAGCCTCCCAGAGTGCTAGGATTACAGGCATGAGGCACCACACCCAGCCCAGCAGATTCACCTCTAATTACTTCGAAGGGAAAGAATTGAATTTGACTTTCTAAAGGGAGATGCTCCCTTGATGCAAAACAAAACAAAACAAAAAACCAAACAATTAATCTCTAGGCAGAATCCCAGAGAACATTATGGGACTTGATCAAATTGAAAGATTCTTCTTTAGGAGGATGTAATGGGAATTTTTGTGGGAGTGAAAGGATTGGCCATGTAAAGACTCATTGGTTATCCCATGGCCATCCTGACAGAAAATCTCTTCTATTCTCTTAACTAGGTTTAAACTATTCAGTCCAGATGACTAATATACAAAACTGGTACTATTAACCAATCTCAGATGTCTCTGACTGATTTTTTGCATTTCCCCTCTTTATTAGATTTGCATATACAGCAGCGGTTCTCAACCTGTCGCAACCCAAAGGAACTGTATTAAACCGCCGTGGCATTAGGAAGGTTGAGAACCACTGATACACAGGGTTGTACAGAAGGTATCCAGTCATGTGTGGCTTTGTTTTTCCTAGTACATGGCTCAATACTTTCTGGACAGCCCTCAAGAACTAAATTATATGGAAATTACATAGTAACCCAGGTGACAAAAAGCAAATATCTTAAACAACATAGGGAGTTTTGAATTTAAGATAGCGTCTTATATAACTGAGCAGATGTGGTACCCCTTTAATTTTTGGCCTGACTAAAATAGTTTATAAGGGATAAATTTATTGGGTACCATCTTTTTTCTCCCAAAACCTACAGTACAAGAGTCAAGATTCTTTGGGTACAGACTTAGTCTGTTTGAGATATTATAACAAAATACCTTAAACTAGGGGGCTTGTAAACAATAGAAATTTATTTCTCATAGTTTTGGAGGCTAGGTCTGAGATTCAGATGCTGGCAGATTTGGTGTCTGGTGATGAGTTATTTCCTGGTTCATACCTGGCCATCTTTTCACTGTCACCTCAAATGCCTGAGGTGGCAAGGAAGCCCTCTGGGGCCTTTTAAATTTATGTCTTTATTCTTTGGGACTGGGACTTGCTATATTGCCCATGCTGGTCTTGAACTCCTGGGCTCAAGTGATGCTCCTGTCTCAATCTCCCAAGTAGCTGGGATTAGAGACAAGAGTTGGTGAGCCCAATTTGGGGTCTTTTTTATAAGGATACTAATCTCATTCATGAGGACCCTACTTCTGTGACCTAATTACCTCCCAAAAGCCATCTCCAAATGCCATCACTTTGGATGTTAGGATTTAACACATGAATTTTGGGGGGACACAGCATTCAGTCTATAAGGGGGACTTTTATTTTTTTTGAGACAGGGTCTCACCTGGGCTAGAGTATAGTGTAAGGTGACCAGATGTCCCGCTTTTGGCAGGACAGTCCTGATTTTTAACAATTTGTCCTGTGTCCTGCGGCTTTTTTAAAAAGTCCCGATTTTTGGAAAGAATACATGACAAGCTAGGGAACGTGGGAGAACAGGAAGGGAATATATGGTTTTTGACTGCCATGTGGCTATTTTGCCAGAATATGAGTTTTATATTATTTTTGTTAATTGTATGTTAAACATTAATAATAACAAATAATTGTTGAGAACTGATTATTGAGAACTGCTTATCAAAGTTTGCACTGTTGTCAGCCTGTGCCCAGGCCTCCCCCTGCCTCCAGTCAATGGTGTCCTGCTTTACCAATGTTAAAATCCGGTCACCTTAGTATAGTGGCATCTGCCTAGCTCACAGCAACCTCCAAGTCCTGGGCTCAAGAGATCTTCCTGCCTCAGCCTCCCAAGTAGCTGGGACTGCAGGTGCTAACCACCGTGCCTGGCTAATTTTTCTAGTTTTTGTAGAGATGGGGTCTTGTTCATGCTTAGGCTAGTTTTGAACTCCTGACCTCAAGTAATCCTCCCTCCATGACTTCCCTAAGGGCTAGGATTATACTGTGTTTCCCCTAAAATAAGACCTAACCCCAAAATAAGCTCTAGCAGGATTTCTGTGCATTGTTAAATATAAGCCCTACCCTGATAATAAGACCTAGTGATGGGCATAGCTATGCAGCGTATGCATAGCCACTCCATGCATTTCGGCACAGAGAGGAAAACATCCCCTGAAAATAAGCCCTAGTGTGTCTTCTTGAGAAAAAATAAATATAAGACAGTGTCTTATTTTCAGGGAAACATGGTAGGTATAAGCTACTATACTTGGTTCCATTTTTTAATACTAGAATTTTACTAGGTATTGTAACTACTTGGTGCATACCTTGTGTTCACTGTAAATTGTTATATTTGGAATAGTTCATCAAGTACAAAATCTGCAGTACACTCCCCTTCTGAGCAATCCTTGTCCTTTACTCACCCTCTATCTTGTGGGATAAACTCCTTGCTTTGGAGTTTATCGTCTACTTATTTTCTCTTAAATGTAAAATTTTTTTATTGTATTTGCATTTTTGAATATCATGACTTGTGTTCTTTAATAATTATTCATCTTGTTTAATCATGGAGGAGCTTTACCTCTAAGAGGTTCTTTGGACGCTCTTTCTCTTTCCCAGCATCTAAGGAAATGGCTTCTGGTTTTTGGAAACTTAATCACAGCAGGGTGCTACATGTTCTTAGGACCTGTCCCAGTTTTGCACATAAAAAGGTAATTTTTTTCTTCTTCTGTATTTTTGGTTGAATAGCATTAAGAATGATTTCAAATTTTTTTTTCATAATTCTGTTATGGCTTATTCTTTTGAGCCTTAATATTTAAATAATTATTTTGACTTAGGACTCTTTTGAGTTGCTTATTATGTTACCAGACAAAGGTCCAGCCCACCTGTCACTGTCAGCCAATATGCAGAGATGAGGATAGGTCCATCAAACTTTATTTCTCAGGCCTGGGATTTTGGAGAACAATGAGAAGAGCCTCTTCAAGACTGTTCTGTTCTTCCATTTCCAAAATCACAGTTTTATACATAAAGGTTCAAAGGAAAGAGCACATTAACTTATTTTAAATAATCCACACAAGTTATTGACAATCTAATACAACATTTCCAATTCAAAAGTTAATTTCCTAAATCAATTTTGTTAAACTCTTTAAGCTGGGCATTCTTAGGGTGGGAGCTAAATTTACAAAATCGTAAGAAGGGGAAAGCAGAGGTGAAAGTCAGGTAGGACCAAAGCAGATCAGACCAGCTGTGTCAGGTAGGCCCTAGCCTGACGGACTCCATCCTATTCTCGCCACATGTGCTCTCAGTTACACTGATGGTGTTTTACCTTCCTACCAGCAGACAGGAATGCATCAAGTCTGCATCAAATGACAAAAATGTTTCTCCTTCTGTTTCAATCGCACACTTGTTTGTACTTTATATGAAAATAGCATCTATTGTTGCCCACTATAGTTCATAGTTCTTAGAATATATTTTTTTTACTTTTTCTACTCTTTCCCCTTATTCTTTGAGGCCAGGACCAAATCTTTTTCTGGTTTCTGTATTGTTAACATGTAGTAACTGCTCATTAAGGCTTGTTTAGTATAATTTATTTGCTAAAATGAAGTGAGATTTTTAGACCTTTTCTGATACTTTTGGATCAAACACATTTTCGTGGAAAGAGAAGGATTTCGACGTCTTTCAGAGCTGGCTTTGCATTTTGGCTTTATCATTTACTAGTAGTGTGAACTGGGGCAAAAATCACTTACCTTCCAAGAGCTTCAGTTTTCTCATCTACAAAAAGGAGCCGATAATAGTACTTACATCCCAAGAATTAAATAGACTAATGTCTATTAAATAATGGGCATGGACCAGATGTTAGTTTCCTGTCTCTTTACCACTTCCCTCTAGGCCATTTTTTAGTTAATTGAATTTCAAAACCAAGTGATTAAATGAACAGTATTGTTATTGACATTTTAACCAATTTTGAAAAGTTTGGGAGAAGACAGCAGGTTGGCTTCAGGCATACGATATGTGTGACTAAAGAGATTGAGATATTAGGGTGAATTTTTTTAACCTCAAAATATAAAAAGTTAATGGGAATTCTAACCCAATGGAATGGGGTCACGTGGGAATGAGAACAAGGTGAGGCACAGAATCTGTGTAACGGATTTCTTTGGGATCCTGTCCTTCTTAGAATTAAGCTTTGTGTCTCTTAAAATGCTAACATTTTTGTTTTGGTTTTCCCCAAACCCCTTTGTAGTCAGCTCTGGCTTCTGGTGCTGGTATTAGTTGTGCATGGCATCTCTGCTGGAATGAGTATAGTTCCGACTTTCCCGGAAATTCTCAGCTGTGCATAGTAAGTTACTGCTGTTGCTTGAAGAGCTGTATTATTAACAGAAGGGAGCATCACAGACTTTTCTAGATTTCTCAGTATTTTTGCATGTTAGATATTTTTCCTCAATATTAAATCTTGATAATTTTATAGCATATAATATTGTGATATAAATAAGTGTCAATAACAATACAGCAATATAGATGGCAATATATAGTAATACTAATTCGGTAATAGCTAAAATGGGTTGTGGAGAGATGCTTCACTTGGTTTTTGTCTCAGTGTATATGTATTTATATAATTTTTCAAAGCTAAAGCAAGATGGAAAGGGCTAGCATTATTCCTCTTACATAGAAGAAGTCCATACAAAGGGATATAGAGTGACCGGACATCTGTCCCTCGGTCATCACCTTTGTTGAATAGGCATGATGATGAAGATCCCTAGATACTATGGTTGTGCTGGGACAGTTCAATAATCGTCTTAGGAATCAGCAGCTATCTCTGTGTTTGTTAAAAGTTGCCATTGTTCTTTATGTTTATCTAATTTTGAGAATTTCTTAGTTAATTGTGTATTTTATAAATATTTAAGGCAAATGATTAATGATTCTTAATATCATATCTTACATATTTAATAAAATTATTTTTAGAAAACTATGGAGTAAAACTATGAACATTCCTTCCAATTAGATTCATTATTTATCTTAGAAATAGAGTGCTTTTGCTATGGATTTTGTCCAGATTATCCTTGACTTATCTTAATTTATCTACAATAAATTTTTCTTTCATGCAGGTTTTCCTTTTAATAATGGATACCCTCCTGTCTCTCTTTGCAGTGAAAATGGATTTGAAGAGGGATTAAGTACACTGGGACTCGTATCAGGTCTCTTTAGTGCAATGTGGTCCGTTGGGTGAGTAGTCATTGCCTTTTAGTCATGTACACCTACAAGATGGAAAATACTATCTCCATGTTACAGATGAAGAAATTGAGGTGCTCAGTGGTCATATGAGTTTCTCAAAGACAAATACTTCATCTAGGGTAGAGCCAGAATTCTAATCCCTATCCTCCAAGTCCACAATCAGTGGTTATCTCTATTTTATGAGACCATCAAATGATCTCATATACTTTATCTTATTTAAATGATATTTGTAAGTTCCTTTAACAAAAACATGTCTCAGATTTTAAACATTTATTCAATTCATTCATTTTCTTATTTATTTTCTAACTTCTGACAATGTAGCATATAGTAAATGAACATGTGTTGAATTGAGTTATATTAGATGCAAATGCTGAGAACAAAGTAATATCAAGAAGTTTTTGAATGTCATCTTTTTGACTTTTGTATAAGCTACCAACTTTTCAGAAGCAGATATAATTTTACAATTATTTAAAAATGATCAGGTAGAAATTTTTTTTTTTTTTTTTTTGAGACAGTGTCTCACTATGTAGCCCTCAGTAGAGTACTGTGGTATCACAGCTCACAGCAACCTCAGACTCTTGGGCTTAAGTGATTCTCTTGCCTCATCCTCCCAAGTAGCTGGGATCACAGGCACCTGCCACATGCCTGGCTGTTTTTTTGTTGCAGTTGTTATTGTTTAGCTGGCCCCGGCTGGGTTCAGATCTGTCACTCTCAGTGTATATGGCCAGTGCCACAACCACTGTGCTACGGGCACTGACTCAGAATTTCTTTTTTTATATCCAATGCTGTGCTGAGGACTTGGCTTTTTGTTTTAGTCTTTATGGTTCATTATGAGTTAGAATTATTTTCTTACACCCAGTGCTATGCCGAGGAATTGCCTTTTTCCTCCAGTATTTATGCTTCCAGTTTAAGGAAGCCCTATGACTGAGGGACTGTGCAACTTTTCTGTAGTCATACCTTTTTTCACTATTGTATACTCTTCTTTCTATTGTTAGTGCTTTTATAGGACCAACATTGGGTGGATTTCTATACGAAAAAATTGGTTTTGAATGGGCAGCAGCTTTACAAGGCCTGTGGGCTTTGATAAGTGTGAGTAACCAGTTCTTAATTTTCATTTTCATTATATTTGTGGAGAGACTTGACTTAGAGAATTGACATTAACCCTTTGTGTTAATTGTGTTAAAGGGATTAGCCATGGGCTTATTTTATATACTGGAACACTCAAGGAGAAGAAGGAGGTAAGGCTTGGACTTTTTTCTCTTTTTTAAAAGTTAATGTGTGTGTGGGCAGCACCTGTGGCTCTAAGGAGTAGGGTACTGGCCCCATATGCTGGAGGTGGTGGGTTCAAACCTGGCCCTGGCCAAAAACTGCGAAAAAAAAAAAAAAAAAAAAAAAAAAAAAAGTTAATGTGTGTGAATAGAAAAGAAATAACATTTTACACCCATCACCAGCTTTCTAGGCACTCTGAGGCTCCTCGCTTGGTAGACCCTTTGCAGGAGACAGTTGGATAGATAAGTAGATACTATTTTTTTTTCTAAGATGAGAAATATTGAAATTTTTCTGTTCTTTCTCTTAATATAGATCTAAATTTCAAAACGTCCTCAGCACCGAGGATGAACAAACTGCTCTCTTGCCTCATGAACTCTAGCTTGATGAACCCTGGATTGATACAAAGTTGGAAGGTGGATGCTTCTGGCCTTGAACATACTGCTGGAAACGTTTTCTTAATTTTATGCAGAGAACTCTGTGGACCCACACGGCATCTTGGAAATATGAATGTGTTTTTGGACTGTCCTGTGTTGGGTTTCACTTACTGTTGTCCCAAAAAGCTGGCCTGCTGAACCAGCTGTACTTGGAAACATTAACGGAGAAGTATAGATGGAAACCAGCAAAAGTTTGTGTTCTTACGTGACCAAACTTGTCCTTGAAGATGCTGTCATCGACTCTATTAGGTCTCTTATTTCCTTTGTTTATTTTTTATTCGAAGTACAGTAATTCTGTGAATAAACCTTTTTTTGTTGTTACTGGGGAAAGAGATGAATTGATTTGATAGGCTCTTCTAAATATATAAAGTAACTCAAAATATATATGATAATTACTCTGAAGTCAGTTTTTAAAAGATATACTTTGTGTCATGAGACAAAGGCAAAATTCCTGTCTTTTATGCAAAAACTCTGTAAAGTCTTAAGATTTTATCAAAATGTTATTTGTGTGAAACTTACAAGAATAACAACATTTACAACTTCTATTTTTGTAATCTACCTTCAATTATAACCTGGATTTATAAACATTACTTGGTGTAACACGATTCATTCCCGAATGTCTCTGTTTTCAGTTCTTCCATATGTTGTATTTGTGTTTTTCCCCATATTCTTGCTGGATACATTCCATCAGCAGGTCACCCCTTCCTCCAGGAGCAGCTTCCTTTGACTTCAGGTGTAATCCCTGCTGTTTTTTGATGTGAGCAAATATCTACTGTACAACTCTCCTACCTCCCAGTTTTCAGGAGATAGTAGCCACATTTCCAGTATCGTCTATTCCTTCATTCAAAAACACCTAGGTATGGAATGGCTTCTCTGGAGTTGACACCTGCTAAATGCTAGGGGGTTGGCTGTGACTCATATAGAGAAATACAATTTCTGCTTTTTTTTTCTTTTTTTTTTTCTCTGCCACAACTTGGAAAAAGAACAATTTCTGCTTTTATATAACTTATACCAGTGGAAGGGACAAAGAATAAATAGATACCAGAATCTCTGATTATCTTGCAGAAATGCTAAGAAGGAAAAACCTGGCTATGTGATAGAGTAGTCGGCTGGGGTTTGGATGTGGAGGCCTAATTTGGATAAGGCCTGTTTTCTGGGACGGTGGGACTTCTGAGTTGAGATCTGAAGGGTGAGAATGAGGCGGCCGTTTGTTCATTCTGAGGGGGAACAGCGGGTAGTTTGTGTAAGACACAGAGTCTAGTAAACGGCGAGGTGTGGGTGTGGGGGAAGAACCGACTTTTAAAGGGGTGATTCCAAAATCTGACTCCCGTTTTCGGGCAGCGCATAATGTCTGTACGTGGACTGTGAGTGGGAAGGCGTGTAAATAGGAAGAGGGGAAGAACTTTGGAGACTTTCAGAGAAATAATAATGGTTTTGACCAGGGAGGTGACAGTGGAATTGGAGCAAAAGGGATATACTACTCATTTGGAGAGAGGAGAGCGGCATCTAGGATGAGTCCGCAGGTTTGGGTTTGTGGGTGTGGGTAGATGGCGGTGCTTCTTAGCGAGATAGGGGCAATCAGGACCAAAACGGATCCTTAAGGAGCTGATTAAAACCATGATGGGAGGCTCGATGCCTGGAGACCAGTGGTTACAGCGCCAGCCACATCCACCGAGGCAGGCAGGTTCGAACCTGGCCCGGCCTGCTAAACAACAATGACAACTGCAACAAAAAATAGCCAGGTGTTGTGGCGGGTGCCTGTAGTCCCAGCTGCTTGGGAGGCTGAGGCAGGAGACTCGCTTGAGCCCAGGAGTTTGAGGTTTCTGTGAACTGTGATGCTGTGGCAATCTACCCAGGGCGACACAGTGAGACTGTCTAAACCAAAAAAACCAATGGGTGCCGTTGACGTTAACTGTAGAGGTTGGGTGTGCGGCTGTCTCATGAGCTCTTCATATCCCTCCTCCCATGAGCCCCTTTGCCCTCGAACCCCCAGACCTCCAGCGCGTGAGGAACAGGAATAGCCTGTTGTTCTTTTCCCTGGAGTGGACAGGGAAAGGGTGTGACCCAGAGTGCAGGGGCGGGGCCTGGGTCGCCTGAGGTCAATCGCCCTGGAGCTTTTCTGCGGGTCTGTGCGGGTTCGTGCTGGTCTGAGCGCCTGCAGTTCCCACTGTGGCCGCGCGGGGCGGCTCGCACCTCCCTAACAGGGTATCTGGCTCCATTCTGGATTGTCACCTGTTTGTTAGCAGCGCAGTGGACTAGCAAGAGTTCGAGGTCAAGGCAAAGATGCCAGCCTTTCCGCTGAACTACCTTTGTTCCTATTCCCAACATGCTACTTTCAATATATGCCTTGGATACCAGTGTATTTCTATTTAACCAAATTTAGCTCTTACTCATTTTATGATTTTACAAGTGCAAAAATAAAATGACCAAAAGTGTATGTGTGTGTGAATTTATATATATGAAGAGAAAAGAACTTTAAAAAATGAAACCAAACTGTAGGTCAAAACTATCAAAGGAAATTTTTGTGTTTATATTTTTATATATTTATAATCTAAGCATTACAAAGATACTCAGCTTAAAAATAACTTTTTGAGATGAGACTTATGAAAGGACTTAATTTTATTAAAAAGACACCTGCCAATGTTTACAGGTCACACTTGCAAAAATGTGGAATGGATCCAAGTGCCCATTAATTTGAGTGGATTAACAAAATGTATACACACAGGAATACTACACAGCCCTGAACAAGGACGAATTAAGGAATTTTGCAACAATTTGGATGGAAATGGACACCGTTGTCTTAAATGAAGCATCCAAAGAATGGAAAAACAGATACCATATGTACTTACTATTAAATTTCAACTAACCAGTAAGCACACATGTGCCCAAAGGGTAGTAAAACTCAGTGGAAATGGAACAGGCAGAAGGGGTAGGTGAGAATGGGTGAAAACCCACCTAACAGTATGATGAACACTAGGTGATGGGCATATCCTGACCCAAGCGTAACAAAGTTGATACATACAACCAAACACATTCTTACCCCCAGATTTTAAAAAGAAAAGAAAAGAAATAGGGCTGAGCAAGGTGGCTCATGCTTGTAATCCTAGCACTCTGTGAGGCCAAGAAGGGTGGATTGCTTGAGCTCACAAGCTTGAGACCAGCCTCAGCAACAGTGAGACCCCATCTCTAAAAATAGCCAGGCCTTGTGGTGAGTGCCTGTATTCCCAGCTACTTAGGAGGCTGAGGCAAGAGGATCCCTGGAACCCAAAATTTGCCCTACCGAGGACAACAAGGTGAGACACTATCTCAAAAACAAAACAAGAAAACAAACAACAAAAAGAGAAATCACAATGAGAATATTTTATGTAGCTGACTGTGGACTGTATTAGTAATAAAAAATATTTTTTTGTGAAGATCATATTGTAACCTATACATATGATACACAAATCAATGCAAAATAAAAAGGATAAATACAAATCACATATTACCATATGTCCCTATTTTATGAAATAGATCCATAGGAGTAAGGCTCAGAAACAACATATTTAAATGGAAAAAATGAAATGTTATATGAAGTATTAACAAAGAAACTAAAGCCTGTATATTCAGTCTTCTTTAAGAACAATTTGCAATTGAAATATTTGTTCTTTTGGAAAATCTACACCATCTCTTCTAATTTCAGCCTATTGATAGGTGAGTGTTATAGGGGATAATCTTGGAAAGCATGGTGTTCAGTGATAGTTTTTGGCTTGTGGTTTAGTATGATGTTATCATCAGTACGAAAATAAACAGTGCCAAGTGCATTTCTTAGACCAGTAGTATCTTGACAAATACAAAAAGCAGGTACATTATGCCATTTTTAGGTTTTTGTCATTCAAGATAAAAATTGACTACCAAACAGCTTGCCAATTTTATTCATATTTCAAAAATGATAGTTATGAAATCGATTGTGGAATGATATAGGTAGGATTTTTTCCTTTTAATAGCATTACAACCAGTGCAGAAAACCCTTTCATTTGAAATAATGCTAATACCTTTTCTTCTTCCACTTTCAGAACTTTTACCCATGTTTATTGTCTCTACTGTTTTTGTCATATTATCACTATTACTGGCTTGCTCTTGCCTTTTGGTTACTTTTCTGATAAAGATCTAATCTGACTCACTTGTTGGTGCGTCCTTGGGTATTGGGGAGCTGGGTCCAACCTCTAGATCTGGAACATGATTTAATGAGGAAGACTTGGATGTGAATTAAGAAATTTGAGGTCATCTTACGTGGGAAGGAAGCTATAGCATTGGGTTGTACATTTCCTGCTGCATTTTGTGAAAGGAAAAAAAAAAACATTCTCAAGGCGAAGCAGCATTTTTTTTTTTTTTTTTTTTTTGAGACAGAGCCTCAAGCTGTCCCCTTGGGTAGAGTGCTGTGGCATCACAACTTACAGCAACCTCCAACTCCTGGGCTCAAGTGAGTCTCCTGCCTCCGCCTCCCTAGTAGCTGGGATTACAGGCACCCGCCACAACGCCTGGCTATTTTTTGGTTTCAGTCCTCATTGTTGTTTGGCGGGCCTGGCCTGGATTCGAACCCACCAGCTCAGGTGTATGTGGCTGGCGCCTTAGCCACTTGAGCCACAGGCACCGAGCCAGCAAAGAAGCATTGTTAATTGGAAAGAACTACGTGGCAAAGAAGATCTTCCCACACGTTCTTCAACCCTATAGCTGTGGCAATTTATCTTAACAGTGTTTAAAGCTTTAGTTAGTTGATTCAGAAGAGAGAGAATTTCCAAATTGATAGTGCACATTAATTGATCTTCCATATAAATGATCTTCCATTTTGCAGAATTATGGCATAAGAGTCCTAGTCTGGGTCTTTAAAGCAGACAAATGCAAGACTTCCCCTATTCTTTGTTTTTACATGAGGCCTAGGAGAAACTGAAGAAATTGCTCAGAAAGAATTTCTTCCTGGACTGGGGCCTTTAAATTCCCCACAAACACCATCCTGTCCTGTTGGCCTCCTTTACCCTCCTCCCCCAGAGGAATTGGAGGCTGAAGGAGGTGCTGTGACCTTGCCCTGCCTCTCTGTTGCTGTCACCTTGGGAGGGGAGAGGTGAGGTTGTAATTCATTTTTTAAGGAAATAGCAAGTTATTTTCCAGAGTGGTTGTACCACTTCACATTCCCAACAGCCAAGTCTGAGTAATCTATTTTCTCAGCAAGTTTTGTGTAGGTGTGAGTTTGTTGTTGTTGTTGTTGTTTTAATAGACTGACGCCTGAAATAGGTGGAGTGAGAGCCCTTGATCAGAGGGAGAATCTATGGTACCGTTAGAAGGAAAGCCATTATGAATTTTGGAGAAACCATTCAGATCTAGTTGCCCCAGAAGAAAAAAAAAAAAAAAACTTGAAAGACTTTGTGCAGATAAAGAACATGAGAACATGGAGGAAGTGGACTCATTGAG